ACACCAGATTGCAAAATCTTGGCGAGCCACCGTTCTCCTTCTATTCCCTGGTTCTCTAAACTACGAAGATCTGAATTCCTCATTGCACTATGAGAATGCGTAGGCACGAGGGCCCAATCCTCTGCGAGCATTTTCTTTGTCCCTTTTCCTTCCCTCTTTAGCGAGTAGCCTTTAGATAGATAATCCATCCAAACCTAGAAGCTTTCAGAATGGTTCCCATCGAGTACAAAGGATGCATGGGGTGCTAATACCTTCCCCTTGCATAATCGACTCCCTTACATGTTTCTCTTGCCCTTGGGTTTTATCGATATTTTCCCTTTTCTTTTGGAATAAATAAAGTTTGGTGGTGACTCTATTGTACTATCGAGTGTGCGATGCACTCAGATATAATCTCAATAGCTTCATCTGACGCCTTTGCTAGGGAGTCCTTGCTCTTGCAAGCTAGAGTCTCACCTAGTTTTGTTTACTTCCTTGTTTTTTTGGGCGTTTATATTTGTGCTTTACTTTCTCTATCTTTATATTATTTACTACATTCTTTACTACTTTAAATATTCATATGCGCCATACTCTGGATATCTGCTATACTTTCTGTTGTTGTTGGGGTGGGTTGATGTTACTAGAGGGATAAGCTCTATACCCATCCTTAAGCATACACACAGGATAGAATCGTCGATAGTTGTGTAACCTGCACTTCGCACGTTAGGTTGTCACGAGAGCCACACCCAAACTAGTTTCACTTGAGAATACTTTTGTCCTCTAAGCATTCGCTAAGGAAGGGTATTTTCAGTTGATTCCATGACTCTTAGAGACCTTTTAGGGACCACCTTTGGAAGACTAGAACATACTGTAGCACCCCAAAATTTGTCTTTCCCTTTTCTCATATCTTGGCTTATGTTTCATGTCATTTTGCATTAGCATTTATACATGGCATTGATCTTAGATAGAGGATCAAGGTATCTTATCCAACAATCAAGATACGAGCTTCCTCTTAAAAGTTCAACCAAGAGTTCATGCTCAACTTTGTGACAACCTCAAGTCACAAGGTCTCCATCATCATCAACACATGTCACTCGACCACTTGAATCAAGAACACAAGCATTGATTCACCTCTTCCTATCTCATGGATAACAAGTTAAGATTTTAGTTCAAAGGAGATTTATGGCTAATCATTAGTGCAAGACATGATTCTAAAAGCTCAAAACGCACCTTGAAGGTCCCCTACATGGATTATGTGTCATCACAAGCCATCACAAGAGCCTCAGTCAGTGAAAATGGTCCTAGGGTTTCATCTGGTCAACAAAAGTCAACTATGATTCAATTTGGTCAAAATCTTGTATCTTAAGGTCAATCAAGGGAATGATAGTTGTTTTCAAGTGATTTCATGTGTTTGGAATAAAAAGAATCAAGAAATAACATAAAATCAGAGTTTGACTAAATTAGGGTTTTAGTGGAAAATTTTCTAAGTAAAGAAAACCCTAATTCTAGCCATCTTGCAACTTCCATAACTTCCTCATTTTTGATCCAATGTAGACAAACTTGCTATCAAATTAAATAGGACATCGTGAACTACAAATTTGTGGAAGGAAGCATGTCCAAAAGATTCATGTTTTGGAAGATATGATGAGTTAAGTTGGAAATATGGAGATTTTGACATTTCAACACTTTGAATTTTTTCTAAGTGTGGAAAATCAGTTTGGAGTACCTACTTTCAAGTCAATCTTTCATGATGATAAAAGCTTCAATTGAATTTTCCTATAACATGAGAGTTATAGAGCCTCTTCAAATGTTTTTTTGAGTAATAGATCATCTACATTGGATGTGTAGAGTTCAAGTTATGATGCTCCCAAATTAGGGTTCCAAAGATGTCAAGTTTGGCAAGCTGTTAGACAGATTTTTCAACCAAGTTTCCAAGGCATTTTTCACTAAGTGCTTGATCTCAACTGGATTTTCCTAAAACATGAAAGTTGAAGGTCATTCTTCAAGCTTTCTATCCATAACTAGAACACCTTTATTAGATCAAAGTTCCCCAAATTGTGTGGATTCAAAGATGGGGCTTCAATTATGTCAAAATTCATAACTTAGAATTTTTCTAAGTTATTTCAAGACAGATTTTGAAACATGTTTTTCAAGCTCAATTTCCATGACCCTCCAAGACTCAAATCATGTTTCCACCATCATGAAATTTGTTCCTTGTCATGAAAACTTTCCCATGGACTCAAAACCTCACAATTCGAGTCATTCTCCATTAAGTTATGATCATATGAACATGGGAAGTTAGGCATCATGTCATGTTTTCTCAACATTCCTTTTGGATGATCTTGCAGCACATTTGCCTCACCCAAGTCACACGCAGAGGTGGGAACTACTTCTGAATCGCTGGAGTCTGAAGAGGCTTCTAAAGAGTGGATGAAGTCTAAAGTAACTTCTACAGAATGCCCGAAGTCTGAACACGCAGATATATAACTATCAACTTCTGATGTGTATCACTTGGTGAAAGTTTGAATTAAGGGAGCACGTTGTGTATTAATTCATGTTTTGTTAGTTAGTTAGTTACTACATGTGTATAAATACTAACTACTTATGTAATTTTTAACAATCACCTTCAATAATAACAATCATCTTCAATAATAACAATCATCTCTTCTCATTCATCACTCTCTCTTCTCTTCCTTTCCTCTCTAATACTCTCTTTATCTTTCTCTCAATTAACTTTTGCATACGCAGGGTGTGATAACATCAACACTGGAAATGGTGGAATGTTGAGAGATTTAATATTGGTAGGAAAGTTAGAAAGTGGTGGCATAGTGAGTTTAGGAAGAGATGGAATGTTAGACGATAATGGAAATGTTGGAAGATTTCCAAGTAAAGGTGGCAATGTTGGAATTGAAGGTAAAGGTGGCAATTTCGTTGGATTTGGAAAAGTGGGGATTTTAGGTAAATTTAGTTGTGTGATTGTTTGCAAAAGTTTGCGAGCTTCTAGACTTGTCTCTGACATTTTCACAACAAAAGGTAACGAAGTGATAAAAGATTTTGTTAAGGCCATTGATAACTTAGTGAGCTGTAAGTGTATATTATTAGTATTGAAAGAATTTTTTTTGGAATTTTATGAGAAGCAAAAGCATGTCAGATGGTTTTATATTGTGTGAAAGACTTGAAGGATGGTAGTTTGATGAACCATTAAGAGCTTCTGGAATCTTAAGTTAGTTCAACTTTCTGTATTGGATTTTGACAAAATCATTTTATGTGGTTAGACTGGTGGTTAACTCAATCAACTCTTGATATTTTGAGAGAGATACACTTTTTTTATCTCAAGTCTTCATCAATAAGCCAACTCCAAAAGACTACATGTATTTAGCCTGTTCTTTTTAAATGTTATATTTTTTATTTATTTTTTACATATAAACAACTAATAAATTTTCACTTTTCAAACAATAATTATCCTTTATCTTATAATACCCTTAAATATTTATAAATTTATTTGACTTTTTTTTATTTGTGCAATAAATAGTTAGAGGTAATTTTTTATATCTTATAATACCCTTAAATATTTATAAATTTATTTGACTTTTTTTTATTTGTGCAATAAATAGTTAGAGGTAATTTTGATAAAAGGGTAATTAATACTCCTTTAAAAATTTAAAAAATTATTTTAAAGTAAACAAAAGTTTATAAAAAATTTGGCAGGAGTACAAGATTAACTCAGTTAATTGAATGGATATCACATTGCAGGAGTACAAGATTGAAATTTCAACTTTTAAACTAAAAAACAGATACATGAATTACTAATATGCACCTAAAATTAACCTTTTATAATTTGCAATGCTCTAATAACTCTATTGATTAATAAAATCACAAACTAATAAAAATGGAAGACTCAAAAAAACAATAGTTTTGACAACTAACTCGCAAAAAAACTTATCACAATAATCAAAGAAATAAACCATGGTGGAAAAAAATAATTGTAGTTTTTAATAAAATCAAACTCAAAATAAATATACAATTATATACCGAAAAACATTTTTTAAACGACGTCTATAAATTATAATTGCTCTGACATGTTTTCATAATTTGAAATCATTCTATGTTTAAAATACTTTAACTACTTCTACAAAGATATATATTGATTAAAATATTCAACAAATTACTTTTCTAAAAGGATAGATATTTGATCCTTTATGAAATTCATTGTTGAAAAAAAAACAAGGAAATTAACTTCAAAAGTAAAAAATACATCATAGGAAACAATAAAATTAAGAAAAACATTACAAATTAAGAATTAAATTAAACAAAGAAAGGAGTCAATAAAGTAGTATCTAAATGTGTAACTCATTATATATATATATATATATATATATATATATATATATATATATATATATATATATATATATATATATATATATATATATATATATATATATATATATATATATATATATATATATATATATATATATATAATATTACAATATTAAGAATTAAATTAAACAAAGAAAGGAGTCAATAAAGTAGTATCTAAATGTGTAACTCATTTTATATATATATATATATATATATATATATATATATATATATATATATATATATATATATATATATATATATATATATATATATATATATATATATATATATATATATATATATATATATATATATATATATATATATATATATATATATATATATATATATATATATATATATATATATATATATATATATATATATAATTACAAAACAATAGTGTTAAGTAACTTGGAAAAAAAAACTAAAAATATATAAATTTTATCATCCAAAAAGTAGTGATAATTGTCCCCTTTACATCCATTTTGGTATAATTTATCCTATATTTCTTAGTCATATAATTAATACAACAAAAATACTACTATCATATTCCCTCATACAATTTCATCACATTCAACAAAAAAAGCTCGGTCATATCTTTACTATACAACATATATTTATTAGATTATATAGTGCAACTTATAGAGAAGTGTTTAAGGTTTAAAGATTGAAAGTGTTTGGGAGAAAAACGGAAAGGAAAAAAAGGAAGAGGCTGGTTTGGGAGTGGTGGAAACTGGAGTGGGAGCTGGTGATGACACTGGTGGAATGCTGAAAGATGGATCGGTGGAAGGAAAGTTAGGAAATGGTGGCATGGTGTGCTTAGAAAGAGATGGAATGGAAGTATCTAATGGTGGAAGACTTCCTTTAGGTAATGATGGAGTTACAGACAAATCTCGTGAATCCAACAATGATGATTTTGGTAAAGATGGAGTGGCAGGGTTTGAGAGTGTGGTTGTTTGAAGAAGACGACGCCCCTCCACCTTCATGCTTGACATTGTTGCGACAATGAGTAAAGATAAAATGAAGGATTTGGAGGAAGCCATCGATGATAACTTGAAGATCGTATTGAGAGAAGTTGCTTTTGGATTTGATGAGAATGAAAGGGAGGATTTATGGTTTATATAGAGTGATAGATTTGTAAAACTTTCTATATTTTACTTTGCTAAAAGTATTTTGTGGTTAGATTTCTTGGCTAATCATAACATTTCCGATTTTTAATTCATGCCTTCAATGCATTATTAATAACACAAAACGGATGCACCTGAAGAAATTTTGTATAGCCACAAAAATAAATAGATAATTTCCTAAAAAAGAAAATTGATATTAATTATAATTCATCTTATTGCACCAAATTTTTTTTATAAAATATTGAGTCAGTTGACTTAAATTGTTTTGATTTTTTAAATTGAAGTAAGTTGACAAATCTCGTGGAACTCAAGTAATTTAAATTGTTTTGATTTTTTCATATTTTAATTTATCAACTTGATACCTATTTTTTTATATATGTTTTTCTTAAATATCTGTTTAGCATGGTCATCATATGTAAAATGTGAGGATGTGTTCTTACTTAGGGAAGAAATATGATTACAATGGAAAGAAAGGGAAACGGATAATAAGATGCGACATTACCCTTTTTAGAGTAAAAGAAAAAACTTACATGAGTATACAAAAACTGATGTAATGGTTTAAGCCTCGATCCATCCATGTCTAATTGATCAATAAAATTAGTAGAAAAAACTTTTAGCGTGGAAGTAGCGAGGGTTAGACCGACCTTGTCTTAGTTACGTAGTGTCGATGTCCGACACTAAAGTTAGGCAGCTAAAATTAAATTTTCTAGTATTGGATACTACTATCTTTGTAACATCATATAATGTAATGACACTCGCAATAACAAAATAGTGAAATGTCTATTGCATACATTTAGCGGACACTTAATGCACCTTACAGATAAGTGTTTAAGGTCTTGAAGTTGAATGTGGTGGGGAAAAAATAAAATGAAGGGAAACGTAGTTGGGATTAAGGCGGGAATGTTGGGAAGTGAAGTGACAGTTGGATGTTGTGTATTAATTCAAGCTCAGTTAGTTAGTTAGTTAGTACATGTGTATAAATACTAACTACTTATGTAATTTTGAACAATGCCCTAAAATGATAACAATCATCTCTTCTCATTCATCACTCTCCCTTCTCTTTCCTTCCTCTCAAATACCCTCTTTATATTTCTTCAATTAACCTTTACATACCCAAGGAGTGATAACAACAACATATGGTATCACGAGAGTGTAACACCCTTATTCTACCTCATAGATATTACGGCAAAATAACACGGATTTCAGAGTAAAATATTAACTTTCATTAAAAAGGCACAAAAGGGCGTACATTTCTCAAAGTCAACAAAATTGGTCAATACTCCGTAACACACGGGTTTTCTCAAAATACATCAAAACATCATATACAGTGGAACTCAAAACATAACTCAATGTTTTCCTCATAAGGGAACATCAGTAAAATAACCCAATGGTATACAATCAATTCCAAGAATCCAACCCGATGTTACATATCAGAGTAAGACCCTCTAAATTAACCACAAAGGCTAACGACTCTAAAATTTCAAAATACTCTTCGACGGCGTCCACGGCTAAACTTGCTCATCTGCATGTTACCCACGTGGAGGTAACATTCAAACAGGCAGGGTGAGTAAGACAATTCATAATAATCAATGTATAACAATTAATGCATAAACGGCATATTACTCATAATTACATTCAACACATTGATATCCTTTAAATATGCCTCAAAGGCCATAACGTCATAATTCATACACAGACTCATAGATGCAATGCGACACAACTCAATGCATGTGGTACCAATCGTCACAGCGCGATGGACACTGGGTCATCAACCCTCCATAGATCCCCATCAATAGGATCGATTCTACTTGAGAATCGGAGCACATCATAATACTTCACATCCGCACAGTGAGATTGAAGTCAAAGTAATCGAGGTCCTAAACCGAAGTCCGGATGCACATGAATGCATGATACACACTTCACAATAATCCTCATAATAACAACATATGGTGCATCATCATTCATCATATTCATCAAACGTCATAACTCATCAACATAGTCATCATTACAGAAGATCTGATGAATACAGATTAGTTGAATTTTGTGATGCTGACTATGTTGGAGACAGAATAGAACGTAAGAGTACTTCTGGAAGCTGTTAGTTTCTGGGAAGTCATCTGATCTCATGGTTCAGCAAGAAGAAACCCACAATAGTGCTATCAACAACAGAATCAGAATACATTGCTGCTGGTGGTTGTAGCACACAGATGCTCTGGATGAAAAGTCAACTAGAAGATTATCAGATACATGAGAGTAACATTTCTATTTTATGTGATAGTACTTCTGTTGTTTTCCTTTCTAAGAATCCCATTTTACATTCTAAGGCGAAGCACATAGAAATTAAGCATCATTTTATCAGAGACTATGTTCAGAAGGGAATTATTAGTTTGAACTTTGTTGATACAAACCATCGATGGGCTGATATCTTCAGAAAACCCCTTGCTGAAGATAGGTTTAAATTTATTCTGAAGAATATTAGTATGGAATTCTGTCCAGAATAAAAATATTATTCAAAAGAAAATTTATTCTGATGAAATATGAATAATGTCTATGCTCTGAAGTAAATCATTTGATTATTTCTTTTAGTACATTATTTCTTTTGTGAAACTCTGTTCTAACAAGTCTCAGAAGATCTGAGCGTTGTTTAATGTTTCTTATGCTAAAGAGATTCAGAGGCACATCCACATCAAACACGTGTCACATGATATCTGAAAAGGTGGAGTGTACTCAATGAGACGCCGTGTTGAGGTACTGTTTGAATTCTCAATTTCTCGTTTTCCTCCCCACGCTTGTCAGTATCATTTAATGCTATTAAATCATTACTCTTTTTTATGTGACTTTTTGTTTTAAATTAATTGAATTAAATGTTGAACGTGTGAATGTGTGCCCTAATTTGTTGCCCCTGTAAATTCCACTACACAACACCTTCTCACACTTTCCACTCTCTCTCACACACACCTTTTATGCATTTCTGTTTGCTTCATTGCTTCTTCATCTCCTCCAAACCTAAAACCCAAAGAAGAACTCGTTATCTCACAAGTTCAGAAATGGCAACTTCATCTTCAACCTCTCAATTGTTTGAATCAACAATGGTTGTTGTTTCATCTTCTACAATGGGTCCTACTCCGTTCCAAGAACCTGAAAGAACTCTCCTCACACCCGTTGATCAATTGGAAGTTCTATGTGAGTTCTTGATAGATTTTGAAAGTATTGCTGAAAATAGATTTGATTTACGTCCAACTGTGTCATCACAAGGATGGACAAAGTATTTTGATAGACTGGTTGGTCCAGTTTATCCTTGCTTGGTCAAAGAGTTTTGGATTCATGCAAGCGTTTTCCCCAAATTCATTGTGTCTTCAGTTCTGGGTAAAGAAATTATTATCACTGAATATCTGATTTGTAAGCTGATAGGATATCAAGAATCAGATGGTGTTACTAATCTGCCAGCAAGACGTATGGATATGGATGAGGTGTACAGTGGAGTTTTTACTTCTGGGGAAGCTTTAAGCAAGATAAAGGATTTGAAGGTTCAATACAATATCTGGGCTAAGATCTTCTTAGGTTGCATACATCACAGGAAATCTACAAATTCTCCTGATTACATCAACTCTGATCAGATGTATTTCATATATTGTCTGGGTAAAGGCATCAAGGTGGATCTGCCTTACTTACTTTTCACTCATCTGTGGGGACATGTAGAAAAGTCCAGAGAATCTGTCAAGACAAAGCATCAGAAGGTGAGAAATTGGATTCCTGTGGGAAGATTAATCTCAGATGTTCTGACTGAGAATGGAGTAGTTGGTCATCTGACAGAAGCTGGTATGAAAGAAGAGTTAGTCTCAATTGTTGGAAAACCTCTGAATGGAAAGAGTCTTCAGAGGATGAGGATAGTGGAAGAACTTACCTCTGCACCAGGTCAGATCAACACAGAATAAATAAGCAAGAGAAGGATTCCTTTAGATGATTTTCCTCTCTACTATGCTAACGAACCAAAGGAAATCATTCTGGCTTACATAGCTGAATGCTTAGCAGATGGAACTCCTTTTCCAGAACATCTGATCCAAAGAGCAGATGAACCTGGATTTGATTTCTATGGGGAGAGACAGAGGAAGAAAAGAAAGGTATCAGAAGAAGAATCTCCTAAGCCCAAGAGGAAAGCTTCTGGCGAAGCATCTTCTGCAAAGCCAAAGCGTGTCAAGAAACAGAAAGGTAACCCTGCTACTAGTTTATCTTCTATTTTAGAAACAGTAAGAAAAGTACTAACATCTGAACCTCCTCCTTATGATACAATTCCCTCACCTTCTCCTCCTCACATCTCTGAACTCATTCCATCTGAACCACAAAAATCTCAACCACTTCTTTCTACACCTAAACAAAATAAAACTGCTGAACCTCAACAACCACAACCATCTGAACCATAATCTTCTGTACCATCCACACCTTCTTTCAACATCCATCAGAAAACTACCCCTGAAAAAACCCCAACTTCTGTTCCACATACATCTGAACATCCCCCATCTGTCAACCAAACTTTTGAACATCCCCCATCTGAAAAACAAACTTTTGAACCACAACAACCTAAAACCATCCCATCTAATTCTGAACCAGTCGTTCTTGATCTTCAACCTCTCATGACTGTCTATCCAGTTCCATTTGGATCATCTGAATCTTCTGATTCATCTGATTCCACTGATTCTGATAGACCAGATGTCATCTCATCTCTTCTCAAACCTTTTGTTTCTATCCCATCTGACCCTGACGATGATATTTTCTCATCTAAACCTCAGATTGCTAAACCTTCATCTGTCCTCACTCCTTCTCCATCATATCCACCTATTATATTTATCCCTTATTTTTCCATACCCTCAACTTCTGAAACCACCAAAACACCTTCATTAGAAGCCTATCTGAAACCTAAACCTAGGTTGGATGTTGGTACTTTGTTTACTTGTTTTAAAAAGGAAATAAACATGTGGTTATCTACTGTCCAGAAAGAATGTCTTTCAAGTATGAATCCTGATGATTCTGAAGCTATCTGGAAGAGATTCAAAAATAGATTCAATTTTGTTGCTTCAAATCTTCAAGAGATTTGTTCTGATGATGCAAAGGTCAGATTTTATGAAGCTGTCAGACTCACTCTTCTGAGTGTTAGCAGAAATCCAACCTTGCTTCTAGAAAACACACTTGCAAAGGATGTGTGTCTTCCTTCTGAAGAGTCTGCTGCATCTGAGACTGCTGAATTGTCTTGACCTGAAGTAGTCATTCCAGAAATTTCTGCTCCTGGTCCTTCTGAGACTCTTGACTCTGCTCAACCTTCTGACATGATTGTCTAGAATGCTTCTGCATCTTTGGTTGTTCACAATGCCTTTGCTTCTGCATTTGCTCCTGAGTCATCTGAAGTGAAAAAATAAGACGAAGATCTACATGCTAAGCTTGTTGAACTCAAGGCTAGAAACACTGAGATGAAATCTTGGATGGTTAAGCAGGAAAAGACCACAGAAGAAATCAAGACATGGATGGCGAAACAAGACGAATCCACATCTGAGATAACGAATCTTTTGAGGATTTTGACTTCTCGTCCTTCTTAGATTTCTTTATTGTTTGTGCACTTTTGTGTTAACTGTTTGTTTCTGTTTTTGGATTATCTGAATATTATGTTTTTCTGACTGAATCTACCTTATGATCTATTTGTTTTTCCTCTGTTATTTTTTTTCTGTCTTAAAGTTTTTTCTTAAAAGATTTTCTTTTTGATATGACAAAAAGGGGGGATAAAATGGTAATTTTGATAATTCATATAAACAGATACCAAAGGCAACTCATACATGATAAATTTCATCTAATCATATTTTTGAGTGTTTCAGAGCTAATAATTCTCATCTGACAAAATTCTAAGAATTAACTCTGAACTAAAGTCTGAGAATCTACAAGTTTCCTCTGATGCTGAAAAGAATACAGAAGCTGAAAGGGAAGTATTTAATATTTTCAGAAGTATTCATTTTAGGGCGAGATTAATATTCTCAGGGGGGTAATATTTCTTTTCTATTTAAACAAAATTTCCCATAGTTTTTGTCATCATCAAAAAGGGGGAGATTGTTAGAACACAGATTGATGTTCAATGTATCTCATTATTTTGATGATAACATTAATGAAATTTTGTATAGAGAATTTATATACTCTAATTTAGTTCAAGTGTTTATTTGTTTCAGATATCAAAATTAATACTATTCTGAAAGAAAGAAAAAGCTTTGAGCGTCAGAAGCAACACATCAGAAGACTCTGATCTGCTACAATGACTCTGAGCGCAGCTGAGAAGAATCTGAGTAAAGAACATACGTAAAGCTTCAAAAGACTCTGGATGTACTTAACGCTGCAAGTACAGAAGCTCTGATAAGCAAGTATGCTCTGATAAAGAATTTCACGCTTAAAGCACTTTGCTGCAAACTCTGATAGAGAAACTCTGATTGAGTTAACTCTGATCTGAACAACTAGGAACATCATCAGAAGTTTTGATGCAAGATATTCCAAAGTTGTTGAAGAAGATGCTGTTCAAATAAAGATCCGTTGGCATATTCTTTGTCCTTATCTAAACGGCTCTTTCCTCATTTGTGCATGACACAGGATTTCAGACAAAAAGGATTTGTCAGAACATTCCTCTTTTGAGAAAGGAAAAGTCAATAGAAGACAAAAAGAACAGAATGCACAGATTGCACATTCTTTAAGAAAAGGATTTTAAAGTACTATAAAACCAAGTCTCAGCATCACTTCAAAGGCGAACGAACTACCAACGAACTTCATACAAGTTCTTGGCAAATTATTCAACAAGCTCTTATACAAACTTTCTTCAAAAGCTGAATAGTTTATTTTCGCTCTTTAACTTGTGTAAAAATCACTGTTGTGATATAACTTTTTAGAAGCACATCTTAAACACATTGTTAGCTTATCTTTGTAAAAGATTTTTTAAGAGACCAAGTGTGGTCAGATTTCTTGAGAAGACAAAGACAGTTGTCTTAGTGGTTTACACTGTAATCAGTTTAATTTAGTGGATTAAGTCCTTGTTGAGAAAGCTAAATCACCTTGGTAGAGTGTACTGGATTAGTTTGAGTTCAAACGAACCAGGATAAAAATACTGTGTTATTTTTCTATCATCTTAATTGTTTTAAAACCCTTATTCAACGCCCCCCCCCCCCCCCTTCTAAGTATTTTTCCTACCTTCATATATATATATATATATATATATATATATATATATATATATATATATATATATATATATATATATATATATATATATATATATATATATATATATATATATATATATATATATATATATATATATATATATATATATATATATATATATATATATATATATATATATATATATATATATATATATATATATATATATATATATATATATATATATATATATATATATATATATATATATATATATATATATATATATATATATATATATATATATATATATATATATATATATATATATATATATATATATATATATATATATATATATATATATATATATATATAAACATTACAATATTAAGAATTAAATTAAACAAAGGAAGGAGTCAATAAAGTAGTATCTAAATGTGTAACTCATTATTAATATATATATATATATATATATATATATATATATATATATATATATATATATATATATATATATATATATATATATGTATATATATATATATATATATATATATATATATATATATATATATAATTACAAAACAATAGTGTTAAGTAACTTGAAAAAAAACTAAAAATATATAAAATTTATCATCCAAAAAGTAGTGATAATTGTCCCCTTTACATCCATTTTGGTATAATTTATCCTATATTTCTTAGTCATACAATTAATACAAAAAAAGTACTACTATCATATCCCCTCATACAATTTCATCACATTCAACAAAAAAAGCACGGTCATGTCTTTACTATACAACTTATATTTATTGGATTATATAGTGCAACTTATAGAGAAGTGTTTAAGGTTTAAAGATTGAAAGTGTTTGGGAGAAAAACGGAAAGGAAAAAAAGGAAGAGGCTGGTTTGGGAGTGGTGGAAACTGGAGTGGGAGCTGGTGATGACACTGGTGGAATACTGAATGATGGATCGGTGGAAGGAAAGTTAGGAAATGGTGGCATGGTGTGCTTAGGAAGAGATGGAATGGAAGTATCCAATGGTGGAAGACTTCCTTTAGGTAATGATGGAGTTACATACAAATCTCGTGAATCTAACAATGATGGTTTTGGTAAAGATGGAGTGGCAGGGTTTGAGAGTGTGGTTGTTTGAAGAAGACGACGCCCCTCCACCTTCATGCTTGACATTGTTGCGACAATGAGTAAAGCTAAAATGAAGGATTTGGAGGAAGCCATCGATGATAACTTGAAGGTCGTATTGAGAGAAGTTGATTTTGGATTTGATGAGAATGAAAGGGAGGATTTATGGTTTATATAGAGTGTGATAGATTTGTAAAACTTTCTATATTTTACTTTGCTAAAACTATTTTGTGGTTAGATTTGTTGGCTAATGATAACATTTCCGATTTTTACTTCATGCCTTCAATGCATTATTAATCCCACAAAACGGATGCACCTGAAGAAATTTTGTATAGCCACAAAAATAAATAGATAATTTCCTAAAAAAGAAAATTGATATTAATTATAATTCATCTTATTGCACCAAATTTTTTTTATAAAATATTGAGTCAGTTGACTTAAATTGTTTTGATTTTTTAAATTGAAGTAAGTTGACAAATCTCGTGGAACTCAAGTAATTTAAATTGTTTTGATTTTTTTTTTCATATTTTAATTTATCAACTTGATACCTATTTGTTTATATATGTTTTTCTTAAATACATGTTTAGCATGGTCATCATATGTAAAATGTAAGGATGTGTTCTTACTTAGGGAAGCAATAGGATTATAATGGAATGAAAGGGAAACGGATAATAAGATGCGACATTACCCTTTTTAGAGTAAAAGAAAAAACTTACATGAGTATACAAAAACTGATGTAATGGTTTAAGCCCCGATCCAGCCATGTCTTATTGATCAATAAAATTAGTAGAAAAAGTTTTAGTGTGGAAGTAGAGAGGGCTAGACCGACCTTGTCTTAGTTGCGTAGTGTCGATGTCCGACACTAAAGTTAGGCAGCTAAAATTAAATTTTCTAGTGTTGGATACTACTATCTTTGTAACATCATATAATGTAATGACACTCGCAATAACAAAATAGTGAAATGTATATTGCATACATTTAGCTGACACTTAATGCACCTTACAAATAAGTGTTTAAGGGCTAGAAGTTGAATGTGGTGGGGAAAAAATAAAATGAAGGGAAAGGTAGTTGGGATTAAGGCGGGAATATGGGAAGTGAAGTGACAGTTGGATGTTGTGTATTAATTCAAGCTCAGTTAGTTAGTTAGTTAGTACATGTGTATAAATACTAACTACTTATGTAATTTTGAACAATGCCCTAAAATGATAACAATCATCTCTTCTCATTCATCACTCTCCCTTCTCTTTCCTTCCTCTCAAATACTCTCTTTATATTTCTTCAATTAACCTTTACATACCCAAGGGGTGATAACAACAACATATGGTATCACGAGAGCGGTTCTGATCCAGAATCAATAGTGATTTCAGTTATGGTTAGAATAGGCAGTAAAAATTTCCCTACAAATATTCTAGTTGTTAATGGAAATAATTGGGAAAAATGGTACATTCAGATGGGAGTCATCTTGAATTATCTAGATATGAGTGAGTGTGTAGTAGAGTTGCCTCAATTGCTAGTAGAAAAAGCGACTGATGCTCAGAAAGCAGAATACAAGGAATCCAAGAAAAAAGATCAGAAGGCCCTATTTTACATTTATCAATGCGTTGAATCGAAGGTATTTGATAAAATAGATCATTATGAAAATTCAAATAAAGTATGGGAATGGGATAAGTTGAAAAAAAAACTAAGGTGGAGATTCCAAGGTCAAGAAGGCGCGCCTCCAAACTATGAGATAGCAGTATGAGATGCTTCATATAAAAGTGGGTGAATTGATATTAGATTTCTTCATAAGTGTTAAAGAATTAACCAACCAGATGAAGAGTTATGGAGAGGTTCTAATAGAGAAAATGAAGGTTAAAAAGGTACTTCGATGTCTCACTTCTGAATATGATAAGATAGTAGTAACAACTGAGGAAACCAAAGAGAAGAAGAAATTTGAAGAAAGATATGAACCCTCTAAAGAAGGGGAAGGATCTAGCAAATTTCAAAACAAGAAAAAGTTTCAAGATAAGGGAAAGATTTAATGCTTCAATTGTGAGAAGTATATGGTCACTTTACTTCAGATTCCTGGATATGAAAGGGAAAGAAAAAGACTAGAGCAGAGGAAGCTAACATGGTGCAAGATGATTTAGATTCATATCATGTCATGTTGATGATAACTACCTCTGAATGGGCTCCAGCTTCTGATGTGTGGTACTTACTCTCTAGTTGTTCTAACCACGTGACTGCATACAAGGAGTGGTTGACTGACTCTAACTCAAACAAGAAGACAAGTGTGAAAATAATGGCAAAGACATAGGAAAGATTGTCATACAAAGAAAGGAAGGCATACAAACAATAATAGAAAATGTGTCATTTGTCTCTGGTATGCAATTTAATTTGATGAGCATTGGTCAACTGGTAGAGAAAGTATTCTCAGTAATCATGTAAGGAGGTTCACTGAAGTTATTTGACAAGAATAAAATAATGGTTCTTAAATCAAATCTGACTAGAAATAGAATTTGGGAGGCTAGTTTGAAGTCCTCAGAATCACATTACCAAAGCATCAAAGCTGGAAAAATAGAATGATTTCTATGGCTATTTACAAAAGCAAGGGGTCGAAGTATCGAACCACGGCCAAAGCACTTCATTTACAACAAAAAAAAAATGAATTTTACCTGTGTCAATTGATTAACAAGATTAGGTTAATCAAATACACCTGCAAGTTTTGCTGATTTTCAGTATTTTCTCAGCACTACAGTCACTATTACTCTTCTCCTTTGGTATACATCATTCTAGCATCTTGTGGAAGGTTCTAGACATGAGATAACACCAGAAAATATCAGCTACATTTTCTACACTACCTCCCTTTCAATAATACTCACCATGCACCCTCATTTCCAATCATTTGGACCACTTGATCATTGAGTTGCATTGGGATTCTCCAACCGAGTTAACCAATAATTAAACAAGTTAGACCCTAACTCAATTAGTTGGATCTAACTAACTCCGAACCAAATTTCAAACCTTATTTAACTACCTCCATACCTAATTCTAAGCCTCCATTAACTCAAAGCCTAGACTCTATATAAGAAAACCCTCACATTGATGCAAGGGATCCTTGGCCATTCTCTCATTTTTCTCTAAATTTTCACTCTTCATTCCCTGAATTTTCTGCAGCAATCTCTCTCTCAATCATCATCTTCTTCCCTAAACCTCACAAAAGCTCTTCCACCATTAAAGCTTAGAAAGCTTTGCATTGAAGCTTTTTATTCTTTGAGTTATACCTTAATTCATCTCCATTCCATCTCAGAACTCTGCACAACAACAACAGTTACTTCAATTTAAGCTTTGGAAGTTGATCGTTGAAGGAGTTTTGGCGCAAACTCGTATCCAAAGCAGTTATCATGTTATCTTTGGTCTTCTTGCTACGGATTACTAGAGATCTCTGGATTTTCTAGTTTTATAAGCTAATATTCATCACATTTTGATCACAACAATTACAAAGGCAAACCTCATCCTTGTAGGTTGGTGAATCTTGCTTAATTTATCGCTTTTGGTCAATTTTGCGATTTCATTATATAGTGCTTAATTGTTGCTTTGCTAATTGAATAATTGCTTTGCATTTTTAATTCTATTAGCTCTTGATAGCCAACTCCCATTTCTTTCTCTTCTTTATTTTTGAAAGTCATGTTGCTTTGAATTAACATGACTTTTGCATCTATTTCCATGCTATGTTCCACTGTGATTGCATGCGAAAGTAATTCTGAAAACTGCTTTTCGAAAAATTTGTCTCTGTTGTTTTTGCAGGTGTAATTGATTAACACATATGCTGTAATTGATTACACCCTTCCATGCACCTCACAATTCACTTCCCACAGGGTGTAATCGATTAACAGGATCAGGTTCATCGATTACACCTGACATTTTTGTTGAAAAACATGCTGTTTGGAACTGTTTTGGCATGCTTTTCTTGCATACTTTCTCATGTTTACCTATATTCATGCATATGATACTATTTTAGGTCAGTACCTACTTGTAATAGCTTTTGCTTGATTAATTGTATGCTTTTCCTTGATTATTTTGCAATTTTATCATATGTTTGAATCATTTTTTGCACATTTTTGCTTATGTGTTAACATGATAATACTTAGTAATGCATGCTAGCTTGTCATTGTTAATGCTTTGTAATTCAACTTGATGCATTAGATTTATTCTTCTTTAAGCAAATTTAATCGTGTTCAAGTTTATTTCTTGCACTTTCTTTGATGATCATTCGAATCGCTTGAAATATTATTGGCTTTTTCCTCCATTTGATTGATTGATCGAAACCTTTCTTTGTTGTTGGACGTCTGCATATCATGACCGGATCCAATGTTATGCAGATGCAAATGCTAAAGAATGAAATGAAACACAAACCAAGTAAAGAAAAAGGTTGGGCAAATTTTGGGGTGCAACACCTGTGCTTCGAATAGCCATCTCTATCCCGAGACCGTAGTGTCTCTTGAGTCGATCTTTGGTCACTCATTCCTACCCCAAATCTTCCTCTTGTTGTTTGGGTTAGCAACCTTTTCTTGCTTCAATGCTCGTTCCCTTAGTTAATCACAATCCGTCTATTAAAACCAATCTCTCTTTCATGTTAGGTTAATCACCTTTTGGTTAAAAGACCCTTTCCTTTGGTTAATCACCGTCCGTCGATTAAATACAAATTTTCTTCTTCCATAGAAAAGTTGCAATCGTTCCTTTCTTTCTTTTGGTTAATCACAATCCATCCATTAATATACAGAATCCTCAGTGGAGTAAGCGACCTTTTCTTGGTTCCAACCTTCTTTTCATTAGTTAAACACTACCAGTCAATTAAAATACCAACTGCCCCTTTTCTTTCTATTAACCACAGTCTGTCTGTTAAAACACTGAGCCTTTGTTAGGTTAATTACCTTTTGGTTAGAACACCATGTTTCCTTTGGTTAATCACTTCCTGTTAGTTAGAACACCAACCTCTTCTTTTCTCTCGGTTAACCGAAGTCCGTCGATTAACATACTGAATCTTTTTTTGGGTTAACATCTTTTCTTGGTTCAACACCCTTTTCGTTGGTTAACCACTGTCTATCTGTTAAAAT